ACAAACTTCTTACTTTTGCACCTGCAAAGCCAACCTGGCCCCGTGAACAAGGAGTAAAAGTGTATAACACCAAAGAAGCTGCGGACGTGAATCCTGTTGTTCCACTCCTCGAGCAATTCACGGATGACCTGCGTCGTATCTGCAACTGATTCAACGCCCTTTTTGCTGATTATATAGCCGACATAGGTTAGTTTTAGCCCTGTAATCTTCCACTTGCGAAGGCCGAGGTAACGCTGATGCTTGGGGAAAGATGCTAAGGACTTTACACAGAGGGTCAGTGCGCCTGGACGTATAGGAGCCGTACATTAGCACATCATCTAGCACTCTAATCTAGGCCGAGTTGGGGGAACGTGTTGATGTTGGCTTGAAAGGCTGTGGCGCTGTACCCTTTAGGCTGAAAAGCATTACCTTACACAAAGGTGAACCCAAGATCGAGTGAAAAACAATCTTCAGCTCGTCGTTCTTAGCAATGCGGAAATTATGTAAATTTGCCCAAGAACTGAGTTCAGTAAAATGCTATTGTTTCTCATTACGTCTCTTAAATAGCTTAAACAGGAACAAGAAGAAGTCAGGGCAGGTCATGAGGACATGAAACGATTTGATCGTAAGTCACCCTCCGCTTCATGATTCTGCTTGGTGAAGCCGTCGTCGTTTTTCTCAACCGTGATTATTGGCGCGCAGATGGCAGAGTGAGAAGGGTCAATTTACCGAATTGCTGAGGGCCTAGCTATCACCTGCTTGTAAATGCTGGCCTTATTAAGCGCCATACGATAGGTACTCGACTTCGTTGGGGGGGTTTCAAGCACAACTGAGGCTTGTTGGCCCTCAGGGCGCTTTATCCGCAGCCGTACAGGTAGTATGCCGGGAACCACAGCGCGGTGCTGACGTAGTTCCTGGAGTATCTCATCTCCAACTGCATCAAGCCGCTCATCAAGACGTCAGGCAACGGCGATTTTGCATTATCTTCAGTGTTCTTGGCCGCTAGTTGGGGCACTTGACTGGACGCATTAGGGAAAAGTTGCGGTATCTGAGAAATACAGATATGCCTGCTTCCTGCGGCGTTTCACACAGCCGTAAGCACGACCATTTACTCACTTTCGGTGGACCTGCATGAGATCAACCCCTTGTTGCAGGCCACTACGATCATACGAACTCGTGCTTGCCAGCCGACTTAGCTTTTTGATCTGCGCTCTCACCTTTGCTGCCACTTGTGCCTTGCATCGCATACGGGTGTACACAGGACTCCATGTAGATGAGTGGAGATCATACCGTCTGCTTATCACTGGGAGGTCACCAAAATCAATTGGCGAGTTTACCACATCGTTAGTTGATTCATTACTCGATCAGTGCGCAGCCTTTAATCATGAGCTGCAACGAACGGAGAACCTGCGAAGCCGCTCTGTCTTACACTTAGCTGTTGCCGCTCTACTCCTGGTGGTCTGTTGAAGCTACATGATGCATACGCAAGCAGAGGAGCTTCACCAGTGAGTCCGGCTACTTGGTATTAGGTGGGACCAGCTCCCTCATATTATATAGCCTGTACCGTCTTGGTGACACCACCCCTGATTTCCTGACCGGCTTTGTGCGCAGGATCGCACGCCACCACTGCGCAGAGTATCATCTCTTAAGCGCTAGCTTGTCCCTAGAATTGTATTTCCCCGCATTTCATCTCCGTGGTGCAATTCTGTGGCTATTATTGTTCCCCGCGACTGGGTGCGCTTCTCCGCTCCGGACTGGCCCGAATGCTGTGCTGATAGGCCGCCACGCAACTGCACTAGAGTGTGTCAAGAAGAAAAATAGGATCATGGCTTCCCAATAAAGGCCACTTGGTCACGTCATGTGAATGGCAAAAGATGTTCAATAATGCAGTCTTGCCAACTATGGTAGGTACTCATCGAGACTTTCGCGTCTAAATGTACCTTATTCTCTGTGTTTTGCCACGCGTTTGATTCGTTTTGGTTTGTATTTGTTTACACTTTCGATGTTTCTGCCCGCAGGGCAGGGCAGCTGAGCTTTTGTTCGTAGATATGCGCTACGTTCTGCTAGGGGCACGCACACTCGGGGCTGAGCGAACCCATCTGCTAAACATGAAGGGCTTTCGGTCGTTCTTCCGAGGCGCCCACTGCAACTGCCGCTCCAACAATTCTAATTGTAGTTCGACTCCCCGGTAATCTGAAGCCTCATGGTACATGCGATTGAAACTAGACAGAAATCGCGTAGCAGTACCGAAGGCTGCATTAACGTGCAGCATCACACGCACTTCTACGAATGGGATCAGGCAGGAACTTATATACGCAACGCTGAATGACGAAATACGAGCTCCTGGAGCCACACTAGACAGCTCACTTCAAGAGAACAGATAGACAGGGGTGAATCGATGAAGCAGTCAACAGCTGAAAGGCTGAAGCCATTGGAAAGGCACTATTGCGACGTTATAAGGGAACAAAAAATTCACTCCTTTTATATTCAAATTCGAGTTTACTTGTGGCGCTGGAACCATCCTTACGTTTCAGTCATTGTGGCCACACAGCTCTGGTGAGAGGCAGGCTCTCCCCCGTTGGTCTCTGGAGGAAGCATACTGGCATCTGCCGCCTCTGCTTCTCTTGAAAATTTCAAGCTTCGCATTTAGTCCAAACGTGGCAGCAGTGCGCCCACAGAAGGAAAAAATGTTCTGTCGGGAGGAAGAACACGAGATTCTGCCTGTTGACGTTGTTGCTGGTCCAGAAGCGGCCTTGCTGCTGGTCCAGAACTAGCGAACGGACAGCCAAAGATCAGACTCAAATGTGTCTTTGCACCACAGAAGAATGTAGTCACCAAGCCTTACTGTTAATTGCCAGAATTGCTAAGAAATAGTGGAATAACTCCGGTAGACATTACTCGCAATTGCCTTTTCTGCTCAATGGGTTTCTCCAGTATGGTGGCTTGTGGACTGCGTTGGTGGAATTACCTCTAAAATGAAAATGTTTCTCAACAGGAAAAGGAATCCTATTCTATTTTCAGAGTCATTGTTGGCCTGCAATGCGTCCACAGGAGGAAAAAGTGCCCTCACGGGAGGAAGAACACGACATTCTGCCTTTTGACGTTGTTGCTATCCAGAACTAGCGAACGGACTGCCATAAATCAGGCTCAGATGTGTCTTTGCACCACAGAAGAATAATGTCATCAAACCGTATTGTTAATGGCCAGAATTGTGGAGAAACAATGGAATGACTCCGATAGACATCAATTGCCTTTGCCTTTTCTGCTCAGTGGTTTTCTCCAGTATGGTGGCCTATGGATTGCGTTGGTGGAATTACACCAAACATGAAGAAGTTTCTCAACGGGAAGAGGAATCCTATACTATTTTCAGAGCCGTTGTTGGCCCGAAGCTAGAGAAATAACGGAGATAATGCTATGCGCAACACTTTAGTGCGCTTCCACCCCAATAGAAGCAAGACGTTGAACACTACTAAACATGCTCAATGCTACGAAAAGACAATGAAATAAGTTTCCTTGTCTTTCACTGAGAGGCACTGCAGTGGGAGGCAGCGGCCAAGCTCATGTGTTCTTTCAGGATATACAGGATTGGGTGACCCTGAGAGGGAAATGCAAACGAGTCCAGCCCAAGATACACGCGCCCTACAAACTCAGAAAGTCAGGCATACTACTGTCCAATGGAAAATCTTTGGTTCTGCTGCTCATTTATCCGCAGCTTCGGTCTGCGGCTTTCTGTTTCTTTTAGTTTGGGCACAGGTTAACATTTGATGGCACCCATTTCTTTTCTCCTGACAGGTGATTTTGCCGCAGCATTCTCCGGGAAATTCTTCAGATGAACAGGACAGGCAAAAATTGGATTTCAACCTAAATATTTGCTTCTATTTAAGCACTGTATACTTCTTTTCCTGAGCGTCATGCCTGTAGTGCAGAGCGCCTACTGCTGCGACTACGCTGCTTCCTGCCCCTCGAGCAGGGCCTACGAACGGCACCTAACGTACTCCCATTCCCTTGAAACAGTAGCTTATATTTATCGAAATATAGTAATTCTTAAGTTTTTCCAAAATCTGTTGTTGTTCGATTCGCCCCACTATGGGAGCTCGTCTCCTAGGCCCTAAGGGGAGTAGGCTTGCACTGGTGCCGGCGCTATAGCCAGCCCCAGTCTCCACGCATTTTCAGGCACCTCTAACGTATACATATTAATTCATAGACAAATTGCCTTACTTTGATCCTAGTAGTAGGGTCCTTTCCTCCTCCAGTGTTGCGACCCTTTGTAGGTCGCTAGCTAGCTATCATCTATAGGTCACGAGCAAGCCCCATTGTAGTGCCTGTGCACTACAATGCCTGCCTTGACTGCAAGTGTTGGAGAGCATGTCCTACTCATGCCAGGCCTGCCGTATCATAAGTCAAACGGAATTAATTTAGTTCTCATCAGCAGTTTGACTATACCTGTAGTGCACAGGCACTACAATAGGGCTTGCTGGTGACCTATAGACGATAGCTAGCTAGCGCCCTACAAGGGGTCGCAACACTGGAGGAGGACAGGACCCTCCTACTAGGATCAAAGTAAGGCAAATTGTCTATGAATTAATATGCATACGCTAGATGTGCCTGAAAATGCGTGGAGACTGGGACTGGCGATAGCGCCGGCCTCCTCCTCACAGGGCCTAGGAGGCGAGCACCCCGAGTGGGACGAATTCAACAACAACAGATTTTGGGAAACTTAAGAATAACTGTATTTCGATATGTATAAGCTACTGTTTCAAGGAAATGGGCCAACGTTAGGTGCCCTTTGTAGGCCATGCTCGAGGGGCAGGTAGCAACGTAGTCGCAGCAGTAGGCGCTGCGCACTACATTTGGGGGCTGTTCCGGGATAGAAGTCTTTGTTCTTTCCGGACTTGGGAGTAGAAATACTATGTTTTAATAACTCATGACTAGAAATCTTCGCTCGGTAAGGGATGCATCTCCGCAACGGACGCGTTATCGGCCCCACATCGCAGGATACTTCTACAATGTCAGTCAACAAAATGCCGAGCGGGACGCTAGCCCATCATCGCCATGCGACTCCGAAGCCCACCGTGGCAGAGCGGCCGCATGGGCATAAGGAGGCGCCCCCGCAGGTGATATCTACGACCAATGTTATGCCATGGGACAGTCCCTTCGTCACGTGGGATCAATTCCAGTCCGCTATGAGTGTGATAGGAACTGTTATACGGGGGACCGTGGAATCCGGCGCAACGATTCCCATACTACCAGAAGACGGCAGCACTATGCAGGCCTTTCTGCTGCGCATCGAGCGCCGGTACACCCAGATGGGATTGGAACCGCGCAAGTGGGGAAATGCACTTATAGACCACCTTGTGGGCCCGGGTCTAACGTATTGGATGTATCTACGGAGAACTATCGACCTAAGCGCCTGGGCGACAGTACAGCGCAGGCTTTTGGAGCGGTTTGACAAAACAATGTCGCGGAGTCAATTGTTAACGGAGTTGGCTAAAGTACGGTGGACCGGTATGCGGCTGTAGCGAAGCGTGGTTCGGGTCTTGCCCCCGACGAACTCGCTGACTATTACTGCACCGGGCTACCGACAGACCTCCATCTTCTAATAACCAATAACGGACAGGTGAAATATCCGTCGTGGGAACAAGCTGCGACAGCCGCAACACGGCTCTACGAGCCCAAGCAGAGTGTACTGGAACTCCGAGCAAGGGCCGGTCGAGCCATTAGGGCTGCTATTCAAGCTAATGGACACCATGGTCCCCAGGAATTTGGAAATCGCCCTGGGGGAACCCACACGAACTGCTTTGAGTGTCAGGGTCGCGGACATCCGGCACGTGTCTGCACCAGCAAAGGGAAACGTACCAAACGTCCGGGGGAAATATGCAAGAAGTGTGGCGGGGTGGGACACTATGCTCGGGACTGTCCTAC